TACCCTTTTTCCTATAGTTGGGTTTTTAATAAGGAGACCCCAAAATAAAAAGGGCAAAAGGGTACTACTCAGGAACCCAGTGAGCGATCCAGGCCGAGAATCCTTGGTAGCTTCGAAGAGGGCGGAGGCCGAGCTGGGATCGATCTGCTTAGCGAGAGTCAGCAGCTCGTTGACCATGTGGCGCTCGTGGCAGCTGCTGTCTAACAAGCAAAGCGAGCTGAGGCACTTTGGCCGCCCAGCAACTTCGACCTCCAGTGTGCTATGGTCGGGAAGGCTCACCCAGCATTCCGGTCGCAGCATCGACTTGCTGAGCATTTGGGCACGGTGTGCCAGATGCCGCCAGCGCATCTCGGAGCTTGGAGCGGCAGTGTGGAGGTCCATCAGCGAAAGGAATGACCGCCACAAAGCTGTGCAAGAAACAGCAGACTCCACCCTAGAACACACCTTCACAACCATGGCCTCGCACTGAAGCCCATCACACAGCTCTGCAGTCAGTGGTAGCCCTTGCAGCGCCAGGACCAAGGCAAACCAACGCACCCTCGATGACATCCCCGGTGGTCTCGAGAGTCTCCGGATGACTCCAGCGATTCTCTCAATTCTCAATAGCGGCTAAGTCCTGCCAGAGCCCAGCGACTCGACTGCCAGGTTCGGGCCTCCTAAAGCGTTCCGCCGCAGGAGCTAATTCTGGAGGGATTGCGTTGCTGAACCCTCAGACACAAAAATTGGGCAGCTTGGGCCGCTACGCTTCGCGACACTGGCTGCACCCACCGTCACTCACTCAGGAGCTGATAGCACACCAGGTTGATGAGGAGCATGATGACGATGATGGTGGTGGTGGTGCTAAATGCCTACTTTTCTCCACCTGGAAAGCGATGGCACGGTGTGAGCATTAGCATCAAAAGCCTGGGCTGCCTCTCCCTGCCATCAGGACCCAGGCCTTTGCACCGGGTGACACTCCAGCCTAGAACTGGCAATGATCGGGGCATAAACTAGAGCAAGGAATACACTGTGGCAAGAAGTTTTGCTTTTTTCAATCCGTTTTCAGTATTATCGCGCCCAACTGCTTCATCAATACTCAACCTACAACACCCTGAACTCCCCAAAAGAACACAATACAGAAAAAAAAAAAGTTACTATTACATAACCACCGAGATGCGAAATCCCAAACCTGAAGCTTCTACCATAAACTCCGAGGGCCATGAATCCGAAACAACCATGACCCCATCCAAAAAGCCTAGGCAAACCTCCACTTCCCTTGTTGAAATCCCCAGGGCAAGGAGGTCCCTGGCCAGAAGATGCGGAACCGAGGCTGCTGCTTTGGCAGCCTTATGATTCTGCACCCAATTGCTTGCGACCGGGTTTGAGAAGGGCCGGCAAAGAATACCTTGAGATGTCCTGTTGCTTCGAAGTGGGTTTAGTTGGAAGGTGGTTACTGGCCAATAGATTCTACTATAGGTCAGTGGAAGCATTTTCTACACTTCGCGTCTCAGAACTCTTGAGTTTACCGACGCGTTCTTCAACACAAACTAGCGGCACCCCTGCCATGTCTCCCACCCGTCATCCATCAGTCCGACACGGTGCGCCACGCCCTCGCCAGCAGATCGACCGATCGTTCGTGTGCAGGTGCTGCGGGGGTCCGATGGCGCCGACTGAGCCCGTCGTCCGTCAGTCCGACGCCCGCCGCCGCGCTTTTTATCCGCGCAGGTGGGCCTCAGGGCGGTCCGAGCGATCACGAGAAGATAAACAGCGCTGACCGGGGAGTCGGGGTGCCACCCCACCCAACTACCAACCTCAAAATCTTGATTTAGGTCACAATATACTAAACCCTGTGGGCATCCCACCCCATCCACTAACTGTTAGGGGGCAGGGTTTGGCTGTTTATGGGTGTATGGGGCTATGTAAAATAGAAGATGCCAGAGGAACGGGTGTACTAGCATATGGACAATTCCGGCACTGTTATTGTTGTTGTTGTTGTAGCAAATACCAGGGCTGCACCTTGGAAAGGCGATCGTATTGGCACGCATCGTACAGAAATGAGCTTCAAGGCAACACAGACAATAGGCCTATTCTCTAAGGTAGGCAAAGGCGGCTACAACCCGAACGCGTACCCCGAAGCCCTGCATTCCTTCACAGCTCAAGTTTCGTATTCTGATGATTTTATTAATGGGTTTCGGCTCAGGGCCGTTTGAGTGTTTGGGGGGCTGCGCCTGCAAAAGGTGATAGGGTTTAGAGTAAAGAGATCAAACTTAGTAGGAACAGTGGTTGACAAAATACCACAGGGGCGCTATACTATGCTCTTCGCCGGCTTGGAAGCCATGGGGCTACGAACTCCGTCGATGTTGAGTCTGGGCGTCCCAGGGCCCTCCTAACCCCGGATCCTGCTTACTGCAGTGGGCCCGGGACACCCCCAGGAGCGCATAATAATCGAATGCTGGAGGAATTGGGTTTCGGGATCAGAAGTTTAGGCTCCAAGGCAATGGCCGACAATATCTACTGCAGACTGCATCTGAAATGTCGCAATCTCACAATATGAGCTTCGATGTCCCAGATAGGGTTTGGGCCATGACATACTAACGCTCATACTTTTCTGCTCTACTGACACAAGACACACGTTGAGCCGGTCCCCCTGCTGAGCTTTCGGAGCTACCGCAAGCCCCGGCGGAGATCAGACGCACGATCCTGGCCAGCTTTTCAGGGAGCCTCTTCCGACACAGACTGGGAGCAAGATTGCTGGCCTTGTTCACCAAGGATTGGTGACCTTGTTCCTCTGGTGCTGTTTCCCCAACCCAACATGCCACAAAAAAGAAGCGACCCAATGTCGCTGAAGCAGAACCCTATTTCTGATATCGATGATCTCAAAGAGCAACACTGCTGCATCATGGTTTGGGGTCAATTGAAGACCATGTCGAAGCGGTTGTATATACACTTGCTGTACATTGCTGTGAACATGCCGCGCTTCGAACCTTTCGAAATGGCTCTTGCACAAACTCTCTCAATCTTTACCCTCCACTAACATCTCAACGCCAAAACCTTCGAGCTCAATGCAAGCCTTTCGATCCAGTAACCCCTATAACCTAAAGGAGCCATCAAACCTAAAAGCCCTATAGAAGCCGTTGCACCCTAGATGCAACCCCAAAACAACTCTGACGTCTGCTCCTCCATGTTGGCCAATGACCTGTGCAGCCCCCTCTCCAGCTCCTGCAGTGTCAGGTTCTGTGTAGTTCCACACAGAGTGCCCTCATTCCTCAGGGTTGAGAGCCAAATAGCCGCGACATATCATGTTACATGCAGCAGCTCCAATCTACTACACCATCGGTATTCAAGCAATGAAAACACGGCTTGACATACAGAATCCGCCGAGGCCACAGGCCCCCGGCGTCTTGGAAGTTCAACTAAATAGATACCCCTTATCGTCCTCTATCGTTTGGTGTTTCGACCCCCCGCCCTCGGTTGGCCCCTCCTCTCACAAATTCATCTGTTGTTTCCGCCCTTCACCCCTCTCCCCCCCGGCCCCCCTCCCCCTCCCCCTCGCCCCCCCCTGAACCCCCCTCTTGCTTCTCAGACCTGCCCCATGGCTCCGCCCGATCGAGGCGCCCTCCAACCTGCCTACATACATACAGCATACACATACATACGACAGATACAGAGAGCGTGCAACATTCTGATCGGGTCCTGGAGCTGACGCGTCGTTGAGCGCTGCTCATTCAGGCATCTCGCGAGCGACAAGAATCTCTGCTTCTGCTTCGTGCTTGGGGCTTCGGGTTTCAACTTCGGGGTTGTCGGGCTTAAGGGCTTCGGAAGGGTAGGTGACAACAGTTGAAAACCATTTTTACAAGTACTCTTGAGATCATATTGAGAAACCATGAGAAACCCATGTAGTTGCAAACCTACTTCCAAGACGTAGCTAGCAGCGCATTTAATTAAGGCGTAGTTGCAGCATTCAGGCGGCGGAAGCGACCAAAAATCTACTGAACCTGATCACATATCGGCCTTCCTCTAGTACCGTAGTACCATGTACAATTCGCCGATGCGTTCGTGCTCGCTCGAGGGGGGCGTGTAATCTGAAAATGAACATTCGCAAGAGAGGCGTGGCAAAGACTAACTGTCGTCATTGGTGGAGGACAGAGACAACCACATAATCGGACCTACGCAAAACCCGCGAGAACGTTCATGTAGACGTCGGCACAAAGAGGCCTTCGCAAATCCGTATCCTCCATCCTTGGACACAAGCCGCACAAGTACTGTTAGGCGCGCTAACAAAACCCGTGCAACTTGGGGCAGGTTGGACTGTGACGAATGGCAGATTTCTGGGAAGAGCTAGAGGCCCGATGTGAAGCCGAAAGCGTAAGCTCCAAGATTTTCAGGGTTCGCTACATAGTGATGGTTTCACCAAAGATTTACTTGCGTCAGTTCTGAAGGTGTAGCGGGCCCACATACGGATAGCGGAAGATTGTCCCGTAGCGTCTGTTGTAAACCAGGACCTGGGCATGGTACGGAACAGCAAGTAAAGGGTGCTAAGACCTGGGATTAGTCTTGCAAACTTAGGACTGGATGCCTGTTTTACTTGGCCGTTAGTGCCGTTACAGTACCTGTCCTTGGAGGATCTATGGCAACGAAACTGAATGGCCAGGCCGCAGCAGACTATCCCATCGACTCCGCTCCAAGGAGGTCGTCAGATCCTGAAAGCGACAGCTCACACTGCTCCAGTATACAGATGGCGAAGTTGAGGGCCGCAGGATTCAAACCTCCAGCACCACCACCACCACCACGACGACGACTACTACACTACTAGCGAGGAGCTCGGAAGGTACGCACAAGAGAACACATCACAATCTCCCGGCTACTTGTTTTCAACAAGTGTGCTTACACATCTTTCCTACATATCTCACGAGTGAAATTGCAAGCTTAACTTTCAAGCCCTGCACCCAAAGTCCCGAGGGGCTTTCAGGCGTTCAGCCGGCAAAATCCTGTCCATGTGCCGGGCCTCTGCAGGTCGGGCAGAAGGACCCAAGGGCGAAAGCCGGCCAGGCTCGGGGCTCACCCTGCCGCGTTTGCATGATGATTATGATTCGCCCGGAGGACGAAATTTGCAACCCATTCCAATCTTCTTACGTGTCACAGTCACACTTCCTGACTGGAAGGTGGAGCCACAGTTTCCATGACGACCCAAGTGTTTAACCTTTCGTCACAGAGCCGCATTCATCTTCGTCACTGTCACCATTATCATAACTATCCATGTGAATGCAACCACTTGTTGATGTGACGTTGCTGCTACTACTTCTTCTACTACTACTACTACTACTGCTACTACTACTGCTACTACTGCTACTGCTGCTGCTGCTACTACTACTACTACTACTGTCAGTACTACCACGACTGCTGCTAGTAGTAGTAGTAGTAGTAGTAGTAGTAGTAGTAGTAGTGGTAGTGGTAGTGGTAGTAGTAGTAGTAGTGGTAGTGGTAGTACTACTACTACTACTACTACTACTACTACTACTACGACTACGACTACGACTACGACTACGACTACGACTACTACTGCTACTACT